TATGCGATAACTTACCATGTGCCTCCCTCTCCACGGCATATCACTTCTGTTAATTGACAACATAATTGCCGAGTGTTTTGAATAGAATTTAAATAAAAAAATTTAGGGCAACACCACCACCAGCAGTCTGTTCTAATAATAGACCACCACAAGTTCCCCTGTGGACCAAAAATAGATGAAAATGCTGAAGAAAAACTTTTAAGTGTTCATTTCCATAATGCGGGATGCACATGGAGTAGATAAAAAAAAATGTTGTAATAGAAGAAAGCACATGTTGCTCTTCCCTCCAAAAATTCTATCTATCTTCTCCTGCTTCTGCTTCAGTTTGCCACCGACGTTGCAAGTAAACGGACCAAGACAACATATTTTCCAGTGTGGTGTTTTAGGAAGATAGAATTAAAAGAAATTATTGAAACCTCACCGTTTTGTGGTGACATTCATTGGTGTTTTTTTATTTGTGGAATCAATTGCCTGCTCCAGTGTTCTTATCATTCCAAATAAATATAAAAAAATACAAATGTTTGGTTATCGGCCAATCGTCGTTGCCCTTATCTTTCTCGTTTCGGTCTTCAACTCTTACTCCGCTTCAGTATTGAACGGTCGCCCTCATATTTCTAGCTGATGGAAGTTTACACCTCTTGGAGTATTGTTAATTTTTTTTTATTTCTTTCTTGATTTTTATTTGAAAACAAACCCCAGAATCTTATCGGAAATTGTGTTTTTTTTTGTGGAAAATATTTGTGTTGTTGGATAGATAGAGAGGGCCCTCTCACCACTCATTCGTTGTAGTTGTCGCCGTCTTTGTCATTGTCAGTGACGCCGTGTACGCGTTGGCTTAAAGATAAAAGAATAGAAAAATAGTTTCATTAATTTTTTTTTAATAATTTAACAAAAACAAATGCAAAACAACAAATAATAATTTAATCTGGTGAACAAAAGTAATACTCGAATAAAATACCCCTTCAAGAATTGAAAACAAATTCCAAAACAAAAAACATTTGAATGGTGTTGGTGCATAAAAAGCAGTGTAAATAATTTGTTTTTATACCAAAATAAAATATTCATGTGCATACATATAAACATTTTGTTTCATCGCATTATCAACTGTTGTTATTAACCACATTCTAACATAACCTCAACAATTTTTATCGGCCTGTTCTTTTATTACTTAAACTTCCTTTAGTTTTTTTCCTTTGCTTTGCAATTAATCATCAATCACTGCAAATAGTTTTTGACAAGCAATTTTGCTGATAGCTAAATTCAAAAAAAAAAATATTATTTAGTATTTACTAATTACAAATTCCGTAGAAAAAACTGAGAAGTTTTAAAGCGACGAAGTTTTTGAAACAACAAAAAATGCAATCAATGATGATAAATGTGAAACATGCAATATTAAGTGCAGTCAACTCTAGCTGCTCCTATTAACTCCTATTAAATATGGTCCCATGGTGGATGTGTCCGTCCGGGCCGAACTTTTATTACCCTCCACCTTTGGGTACAGAAAACATTTTTTACTACTTTAAATTACAAATACCAGCAAGACCGTTTGAACAATGATGTTAAACATTTAAAAAAATCATAAAGTAGTTGAGGCCATACCAAAACTCGAACCTCCATAGGCAATTTTATGCTTCAAGGATTGTTATCTACCAAATCTTCTTAGATACCAAATTTAAAACTGTTTCGTGGGTAAATGTGACTAGGATTATCCAAATACTGAATATCGGTGGGTATCGTTATATGTGAGCGACAGGAAAACGTGGACCTAAATATTCAATGTTCTGTCGCCGGAGCTAGAACCCATTCTGAACTACAAATACCAATTTTTAGACAAATTCTTGGAAAAATATGGCAAAAATCATCAAGGTACCATTATGTGGGTGATATAGCAAAACGTGAACCTATACAGAGAGTGAGATAAAAAAAAACTGCAACAAAGTCAAACGCCATACTTTTTACATTTTTTTAATTTAATTGAAATTGAAAGCAAAAAATTTCGGAAATAGTATCAAATTTAAGAATAAGTTGAGATTTGTTCGATTTGGTCACGAATTATGGTCTTCAAACGGCCAATGAAACCGTCACACGAACCAAATTCGGCAGATCACCACTTTCGGCCAAGCGAAGCAACTCTTTAGCTCTATTTTCTTTCCGTTGCGGTGTAAGTTCTTGCACTTTTTGGAATTTCAATGGCTTTACTCCGAGCTCATTTTTCAATATTTGCCGAATTGAATGTTGCGAAATCTTCAGTTACGAGCCTTTTTTCGGCCACTGCGACGCGGGTTTCGATCAAGTCGCTTCTTTACTTTTCGAACCATTTCTGCTGATGTTGCTGTTTTCTTCCGCACACTTTCTTGAAGTCGGGCTACGCTACCAGTATCACAGTAACCAGCGATGGTACGAGACACAAATATTTATTCACATTTAAATGCTGGAGTGCTCTAACGATAGCCACTTGTGGTCTTCCAGCCAAATATAAAGAAATCACACTATCACGCTTGAATTCCATCACGAATAACTTTTTTTCTGGAAAATTCTCCCCATAATGCTTTTATACGCTTGTAAACAATATAAAGGTCTGTCACTGGAATAATTAATTTAACAGCAGACGGACGAGTGGCTAAGTAATGACAGCAGCCTAAATTTGGTTGCAGTTTTTTCATCTCACTCTGTCAATGATAAATTAATATTTTAGGAATTTTAAGGAAAGCCATTTTGGTCATAAGTCATTTTAGGCAATGCTCAATTTAACTACTAATGAATATTTTAGTCTCTCCTAATACTTATCAGATTTCTAGCAGTGGCTATCTAACTCCGGATTTCAAAATTAAAATGTGTAAATATTACCACGCATAGATGGCGCTTATTACGCGTAATGCTCGGTGTGATTTTAGTCTGTATTTGACTATCAACCTTGCAGCTACATTCCATTTCAATAACTCGTATGGTTGCGCGCTTGATATACTTTCCAGTTTTAGCTCAGCAATTCAAAATTTGCGAATATATGGTGCACTTTTTCACCACATGTAAACTTCCTATACTAAACTTTTTAAAGTATTTATACAGCCGTGACTATCTGCAAAGAGGCTCCAATAATTTTTTAAATATGTTTCGTAACATTTAATTTAGAGCTTTGAAAATTTATAGAGAACTTTGGATTTCTTCAAGAATTATTGGTTTAAAAAAGTTCACTTTTTGGTGAAGGTCTCTCAAAAGGTATTCAGTATAGGTATATCTCCCATATTAAATTAGTTGGGACTTTGAGGATGGCTGTTTTTAAGGCCAATTTAGGAAATTATGAATAGTTTAGTCTCTCTTACTACCGATCTCACAGTACATTTGTATTTCAAGCACTCAATACTTTGATTGCAATTTAAAAAAAAAAACGTAACGCATGTTGTCATCACATGTAGATGGCGCTCGTTACATGTAATGATCGATTTCACGATTCAAGTTCATTTTAATCTCTCTGACCATGAATCTTGCAGTTCTTTTGCATTTCAATATCTCGGGAAGGTTGAACGATTGATATATCTTCCAGGTTTATATCAACAATCAAAAATTGTGCATATTTGTACCACATGTAGATAGCGCTCGTTACTCGTAATGCTCGGTTTGACGATTCAAGTTTTTTTATTCTACATAGCTCCCAATTTCAAATATTTGGAAGTTGGTAAACCCTACTTTGAAATTTAACAAACAACAATAGACATTTCCTCCACATGTAGATGGCGCTCGGAAAAACTTTTCGCTCTTATCTCTAAATGTCCCATCTTGAATATTTTATTCACATCATACAACTGATCTGGCTATATTTTTTTTATTTGAAGCAGTTAGGCTGTTTGTTGTTAGTATGGCTCCCAGTATGTCTCTGAAATTTAACAAATCACAATATATATTTCCACCGCACGTAGATGGCGTTCAAAACAAGTTCTTTTCCGTTAATTGTGATGTTCGATTTGACAATTCATGAAAGTTTTAGTCACACCTGGTAGCCGATCTGCCTATCATTTTGTATATTAAGCGTTCTGTGGGTTGGTCGTTTAGTATACCTTCCATTTTAAATATTTCGAATTATTATAGACACCTCTCTTCAATTTAATAAACTACTATAAATATTTTCATCACGTGTAGATGGCGCTCTAAAAATCGGCTAGTTATCTTTAAATATCTAATATGGCGAATCATTGTTACTTTAAACATATCTTACAAACAAACTGACTAAAATTTTGTATATGAAGCCCTTGGATGTCTGGTATAGCACCCAATTTCAGATATTTTGAAAGTTTTAGGAATTTCAAATATTTTGAAATTTCTAGAAATATTCTCCAATGTATTGTTCTCGCATTGGTTATAAAAAAAGTTATAGTAAAATTTTGATTTTATTTTCCTTAGAATTTTAATAAATATTTATTTTGAGAGAATGAAATATGAAATTCTCTCTGAGTTTGTTGAAAAGTACAGAGAAGGAAAACCAGTAAAAAAGTCGAAAACTAGATGGCGCACTACCAAAACAGTGAATTAGATGTTATTTATCATCTTTCATCCGTTAAATTTGTTGACTGAATTATTTTTTTAATTTGCTTACAATTTTTAGTTGTTTACGGGTATGGGAAAGTGTATTTAGTAGGATTTTTCGAACATTGTAGAAATTTTTTTTGATAATTCGGGTTGTGAATAGGTTGTAAGTTTCTTAAAAACCTCCTGAACATATTTTAATCTACCTCCAAGCATTGTTAACAAATTAACTAGACATTGTCATATAAAATTATATATCTAGACCTATAAATAGCTACTTGTGTATCTGTCTAACAAAAATATCAGCACTTCATTTCTGTAACCTCAAAATTACCACCAATCATCAAATCCCATTAACTAACCAAAAACAAAAAACTGAAATGGTGAAGGTAACTAAATCACAAATCCCCACAGAAAAATAACCAAAGCTCAGTCTTCAAACTCAAAACTAAATCCCAGAAATTTTCTTCATCTTTAAATAGATTGGAAACTTAAAGGAAATTTTAAAACCTGTCACGAAACTCATTATCGACTCAACTGAAAAAAAAAACACCCGCTCCCAAAAAAATTCAAAATGCCACTGTTTGCCAAGAAAGTTCCCAAACCCACAATACCAGCCGATTCCGTATTTCATGAGAACAACAATGGTCTGACGGCAAATGGAAAGGTACCACCCACACAGCAGCAGCAACTACAACAACAACAAAATGGCAACCATCAACAACGCCAATCGGCAGTCGAATCAAATGTTACAAAACCCCAATTAGTATTCCATTGCCAGTTGGCCCATGGCAGTCCCACGGGTTTGATAACAGGCTTTGCCAGTGTACGAGAGCTATACAAGAAAATTGCCGAATGCTATGACATACCAGCCGAGGAGATTCTCTTTTGTACCCTAAATTCTCACAAGGTGGACATGTCGAAATTGCTGGGCGGTCAAATTGGTTTGGACGACTTTATTTTCGCCCATCGAAAAGGACAGCCGAAAGAAATTGAAATTATCAAATCGGAGGATGCCTTGGGTCTGACCATAACCGATAATGGTGCCGGTTTTGCATTTATCAAACGTATCAAAGAGGGTTCCATCATTGATCGCATCGAACACATACTCGTTGGCGATCACATTGAGAAATTGAATGGCATCAGCATGGTGGGTAAGAGGCATTATGAAGTGGCTCGCCTGCTCAAAGAAATACCCACAGGATATGCTTTCACACTGCGTCTGGTTGAACCAATGCGTAGCGGTTTCCAGGGTATTGGACCAAGATCCCAGTCACGTATGCCCTCGGGACGTGGTGGCTATGGCAGTGGCAAGGAAACACTGCGTTTCAAGGCCAATGGCAATGTAGAGATTGAGGAGATATTCGATGATTCCACCCAAGCGGGTATTGAGGCCATAAATAATCTGCTCGAATCCTTTATGGGTATCAACGATGCTGAATTGGCGACACAAATCTGGGATTTGGGTGCCGACAAAACTAATTCCATGGATTTTGCCGAGGCCATTGACAACTCCGATTTGGAATCGTTTGGTTTTACCGATGACTTCATCATTGAACTGTGGGGTGCTATAACGGATGCCCGACGCAAGAAAAGTAATAAATAAGATGTGCCGCCGGCGAAGAGGAGTGGCGGAGATTGCGAAGGAGAAAAGAAAAATTTGTTGTTAATTTTTATAAATTAAAGAAAATATATATGATAATAATAATTTAGTAAATAAATAAAACATAATAATAATGATAATATAATTTGTTCAAAAAGTAAACTATTTGAAGGGGAAGGGGGGGAGATTTCTTGGAATTAGAAAAAAAATTGAGAAAAAGTTAAATACCTTTAAATTAATGATAATATAATTTGCTCAAAAAGTAAACTATTTGAAGGGGAAGGGGAGGGAATTTCTTGGAATTTGAAAGAGAATGACGAAAAAAAAAATAATATACCTTTAAATTATTGGGAGGGACTATTTCGCTGGCTGAATCAAAGATCAACAATTTTCCCAAAAGTGGCCATCTTGTGGTAAGGAAGTGTTTTTTTTTAAATTCCAAATTTGGCAGACTACAACATTTGGGCGCCATCTTGACTCAGATATCTGGGGAACGAAAAAGGCAGAGAATACTTTTAGGCGCATAAAAAAGTTAGTCATTTATTTCTCTGTTCCAGAATTTACAAGTTTTCCAATATTTTCGATATCACAAAAGGAAAAATCGCTTATGGTTGTAACATTTTTACATTCTTCTGGCTCTGGAACAGAGATATAACTGATACATCACAAACTCGCAGGCGAAATTAGTAAAACTATAAAATATTGTTAATAACGCCGTCTTAATATAGACAAGTGTTCCGACTGCCAAGAAGAAAATACTGAAGTCAAATTTGAAAATTTTGCTAATATTGCTTAGGAAGGCATGAAATATGGTCCGGGTTTCAAACTTAGTCCTGAAATGATATAATAATTGTAAAAGTTCTTAGGTAAATTATTTTAAAAAGCGCCATCTTGACGTAGGAGGGAACAAGAAAATAGTTGCTATAAAAATATAAATGGATAACCATACTTTAATGCGGATAAAAGATTTATGTGGTTTCTATCGGAAGGATTCCAAATTTAGTCCTAAAACGTTATAAAAATTCTAAAAGTTCCTTGTTAAAGTCCTTGCCAAACGCCATCTTGACGTAAATATTGAGGGAACGACGAATTAGCATATAAGTGGATGAGCATACGTTTAGGCGGATTAATGATAACGTTTTTTTTGTAACCAGGTGCAAAGAATGTTGGTCAAAATATAGGAGATAAAAGGGATAGCTTATCAACGCCCAGGCGAAATGGCTGACGCAAGTTACAAAATTTTTGATAATTTTGCGTACAAAGCAATGATATAAAGCTTGGGTTTTAAATGTGGTCATATAACGACAAGCGCCATCTATACGTAAATATTTAGCGAGAAAATTGTTGCCTGAAATATATAAGTTGAGCATATTCTTAGGAGGATAAAATAATTATGCGAAGCAATGAGATAAAGCTTGGGTTTCAAATGAAGTCATAAAACGGCAAGAGCCATCTGGACGCAAATATTTAAAGAGAAAATTATTTGCCTGAAATATATAAGTGGATGAGCATATTCTTAGGCGAATAAAAGAATTATGCGATTACTATTAAAGGATAAGGTTAGTTATTGGAGGGAAGATATGAGGTAAGGCCCAGGGTTTTAATTTTATTCTGAGATTGATGAAATATTCCAAAAGTTCCAAGCGGCGCCATCTTGATGTAGATAAGCGAATAAATGTTTGCCGTAGAGATATAAAAATGGATAAAATGTACGGTTATTCATAATTTACAGATCACGTCTTGTGTAGTTATGAAATATAGCCTGGAATTCAAATTTAAAGTTTTTAAATGCCGAAACGGTAATAAGCGCCATCTTAATGTAGATTTTGATCGAACAAGTAGTTGCCTGAATCGTATAAATGTATGACCATATTTTAGCGGTATATAAACAAACTGACTGAAACCTAACGTTTTTACCGCAGAATTTTTTTCTTTTTTTCGTAAAGAATTGGTAAGATTTTTCCCCCACAAAAGCTAATAGGAACAGGAGCGGTTGGCAAATAAATATTTCAGCAAACTTCATTTCACGGCTCGAACTAGATATTTAGCTCATTTGACAGAACTAGTTCATAGTTCACTGTTTTTTGAATCGCAATCGTTCACAGAGTTGCACTCTATTGCACACGCCGTAAAGGAGGAAAATGATTAAAGTGAACGTTCGTTTCGTTTCCACAATTTAAGTGAATGAAACGCTGAATTAGATTCGTAATCGTTAGATCGATCAGTGATCATAGTTTAGTGAACTAGAAAATTGCAGGACCTAGTTCATACGCTCTTTTGAATGAATCGTTCAATCGAACGATTTCGTTCTTGAACTATATAACTCTAGAGCAAATTATGAGTTAGAAGCACTGTCTTATGTCCATTGAATATTTTAAAGAAAATAATAATTATTTGGAGAGAGACTATGGCCATGATTGACAAATTCTAAATTTATGTAAAATTGTTGCAGGAATGAGATAAAGGCTAAAATTGAAATTGAGATTTTAAAAGTTTCAACAAGATGGCGTAACAAGCGCCATCTAAATGTAGTTTTCAAAATTAACTAAAACTTTTAAAACTAGATGGCAATTCTTTAGTATCAACGCATAAACCAGTTATCTGGGTTTCCCTTCATTTTGCCGAAAGATCCCTTCATTTTACCGCCAGTTTGATTGATTTTTCGGCTAATGAACAAAAGGCGCAATATAAATTATTTAATTTTAGCAAATTTATCTTAAAGTAGTGGTAGTGTTGTGAACAGTACAGTACTTGTGCCAGTATTGACATACAGATGGCGTTAAGAATATCTAAAAATTTTGATGAGCTTATATTTATGAAGTAAGGTGCATAACTGCTAGAACGGTATAAAATATGACTCTGAAATAGAACGGCATAATGATATATTAAAACACTGATGCTCACTCTTGATGTAATGGTCTGGAATAAGACAAAGTCAACTATAGATGGCGTTGAAATATATCTACAGAGAAAATCCGCAAACAAAATTGAAGACATATAGAAAAAATTTTTTTTACATTCAATTTACAGTACAGAATAACCGACTTTGAACACATAATGTATTATACAGTCCTTTTTTTTTTTTTTTTTTTTTTTTGATAACATTGACGCATCTAACATATAGATGGTGCTTGAGACAACAACTCTTTTGGAATTTTAAACATTTAAGTTAATCTTTTTTCATCGATGTTTCTCTAATTTCGTCCTGGTTTTGTCACTGCTCCCAGTTTTAAAAATTTTGGGCAAAAAATTCTCAACTGATCAAGATTTCCATGTAGATATGATATTTTTTTTTAGTTTAGAATTACGGAATTATTTTTGTTCCGATTCAAAGTGGTAAGGAAACTTCATTTTAGAAACCGATATTTTATGACCTTTTTAGATTAATAAATCGTCTGCACAATTTTCTCCAGATAAGTTAATTAGTTACCTACGTTACCTTTCTCTTCTCCCCTTATTGATTTTTTAATATAAAAAAAAATAAAATAAACTACATATTCAATTGCCAATATTTATTTTTATATTTAATTTTAAACAAAATCAAGTTATTTAATATAATTTTTTTTTAATAAAAAATATACTTTAATAACTATTATTAGCTATAGTGCATACTATTATTAAAAAGTAATCAACAATTCGTTTGCATGTCTTTACCTTCCATTATAACATTAAATATTCGTTTATTTTTGCTTAAAAATGAACAGCAATAATTATTTTTAGTTTTGTCTAGTTTTTTATTAAAATAGTTTCTTCAAAAAAAAAAAAAAAATTGTTTTTTTTTTTGAGTTTACAAAAAATATTGTTTATATTTTATTTACTATTAAAATTATGTAAATTAAAAAAAGTAAAGAAATTTCACCTTTTGGTTTTTTCTTTTTGTTGGTTTGTTTTTGGTTAATGGTAAGTTTTTTTAACAAAGAATAGAAGAACAAATGAGAGTATTGTTCAAAATGTAGACGATGTAATCAAAGACTTTTCAATATAGGAGGACTGTAGAAGAATTTAGTCCATGTTTTCTGTGCTGAAAGTATCGGAATATCCACGTTTTGGAAGCAAAAAAAAACAACTTCTTCATAAAAAGTTAGATCTTTAAAAGATCAGAAATAAAATTCTTTAAAATTCAAGATTTTTTCCATAATAGTCCTTGAAAAAAGAATTATTAAAAATTAAATTAAAAGACATATATATGGGAGCTATGGCTATATCTGAAGTGATTTTACCAAATTTGATCTACTTGCTTCTAGACTGAATTCGGTCGGATGTGCCAAAATTCGGCTCATTTGAACTGACATTGGTCATTTGGCCCGAAATCAGTTGAAGATATGTATGGCAAATGTATCTAAATTTGAACCGGTTCTCACCGATTTCCTCAGATCCTCAAAAGTAACTATGGGTCTATCTCTCCTCCTTCTCCATGTTACAAACAAATGCACAAAGACATAATACCCTTACCTCTATGTGGTGTAGGGCATAAATCCAAATTTCTTAGTACTGGTGGCCCCTACAAAAATATTCTGAGAAATATTCTGAGAAATCCACATTTTGTACTGGAAAATATATTTTTAGAAATGCACGTTTTCTAGTCCTTGGGAAAATATATTGCGGGGTTATAATCTCTGAGAATATATTTCTAAAAATCCATGTTTTCTAAACCTCATAGTATTTCTTAAAAGATATTCGTCAATTACCACCTTTGACCCTGAGAGTCCTGAAAAAATTCCCTTAAATGTAGACGTTTTGTGGCTTGAAAGGTTTAGAAAAATTTTCCATAAAACTCCTCAGTGTCCTTGAAAAAAAAAAACTATTTTAAATATCCTGATTGTGTGGCTGTAGTAGTCCTTGAAAAGCTATACAGTATAGTATATAAGAATAATAAGCTAGCAGATGTATACACCCAGCCCTGAGTTATGATTATTCAAACTGTTGACCTCTTATGGGTGGGGGGGGGGGGGGGGGGGGGGGGGGGGTGGGGAGTGTGGTGAAGTGTTCCGAAACAGTTGGCCAATATTGTCCAATTCGTATCTGACCTAAGTCTGATATAAATATTACAAAGTGCCATATTTGGACTACATCGCCTACTTCCTACACTTTATATAAAATATGTACAAATTTTTGGAAAATGTGGAATTATGCGTGAGGTACCAC